TTAGAAATCAGTAACTTGTAAAAAGAAAGGTTTGTTTTTCCTAGCATCTTGTTTGATAGCCTTCCTGAAGAGAAGGGGGAAACTACAAGGCAGCCTTTTGTCCACAAAAGGCAGTTTATTATTCTCAATGAAAGCACAGTGACTACCCTGACAGATTGCAGTAGAAGGAAAGAGACCTGAACTTTTATTTTACCATATCTCCCAAACTTTAATTTCCATTCATTTTTCAGTTTGTTTCCTCTGAACTTTGTACACACCGTGCCATTTCAAATTCTAGTTTGAACCTTGATTGGCAATCATTTAACAATGTCTTCTTCCTATTTCCACCTTCCTGCTCCTACCCTCACTTGAAAATTTCCAGATCTCACTATGAGGAATTGTTAAATATGAACTTTAGTAATTAGGGCATTGGGATTCTTTTGGTGGTAAGGTAAAACTGTTCTAGAATGTTATTTTAAAGTTAGAAAAACATGTCCTTTTTGTGTCACAACCTCTGTTTGTTTTGCCTGTTAACTATAGTATTTAGGGTGATGGTTAAGTAGTTATGATGTTGAAATCTGAAGAAATAAAATCTAGTTTCTATTGCTGTTAGCACACAAGTGACTATAGTATTAAAAAAAAAGAGAAGAAAGGTTTATTTCCAATTAGAGTGATTGGGAAAAATTTCAGGAAGTGACATTTTGATTAGAGATTGAAGGATAGATAATTTTTAAAAATACAAAGATGACTAAAGATTAGTCCAGATGGAAAGAACACGATGAACACAGGAAGAGAAGGAAGAATATGTAGAACATGTAGAAAGGGCAATAAATTATTCATCTTGGCTGAAGCATGGGATGGAAGGAAAATGGCAATAGATTGTTAAAATACTTACAAGTGCTATGTTTCATCTGAAGTTTATATCCTTTTTTTTTTTTGTCAGTACTGATGTTCTCAAGACTTTGTCCTTACTAGGCAGGTGCTCTACCACTTGAGCCATGCTCATTTTGCTCTGGTTATTTTGGAGATAAGGTCTTGTTTTTTGCCCAGGCCAGCCTAGACTGGGATCCTCCTGTTTTACACTTCACACCATCGCCAGGATGACAGGCACATGCCACCATGACTAGCTTTGTTCCATTGAGATGCCATCTCACAAACTGTTTTGCATGGGCTGGTTGTTACCACGGTCGTCCTGATCTTAGCTTCCAGCGTAGCTTGGGATGACAGGCACATGACACTAAGACCAGCTATTGATTGAGATGGGGTCTTGGGAACTTTTTCCCCACCCTAGCCTTGTACCAATCTCAGCTTCTCAAGTAGCTGGGATTATAGGCATAAGTCACTGGCATCCGGTCCTATACACATATTTTAAAATGTAGTGTAGGCTTTCTTACTTTAAGCAGTCTCTTTATAGTAGATTCTCAGGTTATTTTCTAGAACTAAATTACCAGAGAAAGGTGGGACAGCAATCTAACTATGTTTATCCCTCTTACCTATTTTTGTATATTTTAGAGAGTGCCATAAAATAAGGAAAGATTTTTCCCCCATCAAAATAACTGTATGGGAAGATGGGTGTGGTGATGTATGTGTATAATCCCAGCATTAGGGATTCTGTGGCAGGAGGATGGTGAGTTCAGGGGCATCCCAGGTTACATAGTGAGATCCTGTCTTATTCATAAATAAATAAGTAAGTGGGATAAGAAGTTATTGTCAGAATTTATCTTCATTCCATTAAGAGGTAAGTGCTTCTTAATTTAGGGATTTAAAACATATAGAAAACTGAAATTCAGTACAAAGAACATTTTTTTCTGAGCTGTTTGAAAGGAGGTGGCTGCATGATACTTTATCACTCCTAAAGGCATTGTTATGTATTTCCTAGAAAGACATTCTCATGCATAATTGTGATATAATCATCCTAAAATTAACTGTTCATTAACTATCAATTCTCAGACTCCATTTAAGTTTTACCACTTGTCCCAACAATGTTTTTTATAGTTAATAGATCCACTTCAGATTTGTGCATTTTATTTAGTCATGTCTCTAGTCTCCTTAAATCTAGAAAAATCCCTTAGTTCTTGACACTTACCATCTTAAGAACTCTGAAGGTGAAGGCCAGTTATTTTATAGCATGTCACTGACTTTGGGTTTGTGTCTTGGCTCCTCATGCTTAGATCGTGGTTATATACTTTTGGAGGAATAGTGTAGAAGTGGTGTTCCTTTCATTATATCTGCTTAGGTGGCATAGTTTTGAACTGCCCATTATTGTTGGTGTTCACCCTGTTATTTGCTTGTTGGGCATGTCTTGCAGACTTTTCTCTTTATAATTGTTTTGAAGTACTTTGAAGCTATGTAAATACCCTTTCCTTGTTAGACTTTTAATTCATGAGCTTTTATAACCCATTATTTATTTTAATGCTCAAATTGTCCTAGATTTGTCTAATAAAAACCCCTTTACTGTCTTCTGCATTTTTCTTTCAACATGTCCTTTCTTCTGGTACAGGGGTATCCCTGCCCCTGACCTAGAGTTGTCCATTTCTCCAAGGTGTCCTAGTTCCTTTTAGTGGAAAATGGTGTAAGAAGTCAAGATCTGCCAGGTGCTGGTAGCTCATGTCTGTAATCCTAGCTACTTCTCTAAGCCTGTTTCCTCATATGTCAAGTGGAAATAATAGTAACTTTGCTCCTCAGGTTATTTTGAAAATTGAATAATGCATGAAAACTCACATTCATAATAATCATAGAAATAATATACAACTACCTCAGGTAAAAATTGTTTAAAATTTCTTTTAATATTTTGAGAGGAAACCAAAAACTACTGGCAGGGAAAATGATGTCTCATCTATTCTGAATTATTTTCCTTTCCTTTAACCTACTTTTCTAAGACTATATTGTATATTGTCTCTTGAGTCAGAATATGATACAAAAGAGCAAATATCTAAACAGCATGGCATTTGCTTTTATATTTGAATTGGGTGACAGTCTTCATAGATGAACCTTCACTAAGCCTGAGAGACATGGCATGTCATTCATGTATTTGGAGTACAGTTAATGAGAAGGTAACTATTATACATTATTAGAGGAGAATATTTTGTTGCATGGCAATTTAAATTACAGAGAGGCTTTTCTTATTCTTATTGTTATTGTTACTGTTATTGTTAGACCTACTGGAGTTTGAACTCAGGGCCTTATGCTTGCCCTGAGTGCTCTACCACTTGAGCCAACCCCCTCAGCCCTTTATTTTCTTTTTAACTCTTGCTAGCTGCTGATATGTGAATCTAAATGATGATTGCTAATGAAACTTGATACTAATATAGTAATTTCTATAGTACTATATTAGTGATAGCATTTTAAATACATGTAGCATGTAACCTGTAAAACTGTAAGATAATATTTGTCCTGGAAGCCATATCTTCTGTCATGAGAGATACAACAAGTGTTTCTAAATGTTTGTTTTTGTATATATAGGGTATTCTTTTGCAGTCCTAGGGATCGTAAACTCCGGGCTTTGCAAATGCTAAGCACATGGTTCTCTTAATAAAGCAGCATTCAGGGGAAGGCAATACTGTTTTATTTTAATAAAATATTATTAAATTTATGTTGCAAAGTTTTATATTTACGTTGAATGTTAGGAGTAACTTCTATGAACACATTGTGCAATAATAACATAGTACCTCTAGAAATGCAAAATCAAATACAAATCCACAGAATTTCTAGTGGCTTAAAATCTTCCCCACTCTATTTCATTCTGGTGATTAGATCAAAGTCCTCACTTACTTAAGAACATTTAGAAAATGTGACAGTGTCAGTTGATTGAGTGATTAAGTCATTTAATCTTAGCCTGTGCTGCCAAGTAAGTACAGCACAACTCATTAAAAAGCAGAAGTGAGGTCATTAGGAAGAAGGCTTAAGAGTAGATGGCCTTAAAGAGGTGAAGTAGATAAGGAAATGAGACTGTGGAATTCTGGAGAAGAGCTTCAAGGGAAATAAAGAGATCACTATACAAAGTAGCAAGGGGTATTAGGCAAAGCAGTAGGCTGAGAAGAGCCCTTTTGTCAGCACTGAAGATAAACAGGAAATGAGAAGGTCAAAATGATTTGCTTACATGATTTTCTGATGCAGAACACATGAGTCTGTCAAAGATTCTTTAATTCTGCATTGCGGATAAATGAGGAAAGGGGAAGAGGATTCATGTAAGAGATGAGAGGTAAACATGAGATGAACTCATCAGCTGAGAATTAAGTTGGGGGAAGGGAAGGGAAAAAGGGCAAGTGGAGAAGGATAGAAACATGGAAGGGAAAGGAAGGAATGAAGAAGAGGATCATACCTTTCTGAATTGTAGACTATAGAATGTGTTATTTGTAATTGTTCTTGAAAATGCTAGCTGTGGTAGTATTTCTTTGGCTCTGTTACATTTTAAATGTATATTTGCTAAGTACTAGGAAGGTTTTCCTTTCAAGTTTTGGGATTTGTTGTTGTTGTTGTTACTACTGTTTTGCTTTCAGTGGAATAACCATAACTCCCTCCCCTATGTATTATACTTACTTAACAAGTCAGACTGAAGACTTCTCCATTCCTATACTAACCTGTGTGGTCAAATATTGCTAGTAACTCTCACCAGTTAAATATTTTGTCAGTTTTCTATGTACTATTCTAAGTGTCAGTGAATAAAACAATAAAAGAATAAAAGTTCAGATCAGTGGGAAAAGATGGATTAATTGATGATGCTGTAATAATTTGTTAACTCCCCGAGAAGAACTATGTTGCTAGCTTGAAAAAATATTTTAATGCATTTATGTTAAGAATATCACAGTTAGCCACGCATGGTGGTGCACAGCTATAATTCTAGTACTCTGAAGACTGAGGCAGCGGGATCATGAATTCATACAGAGCTACATACATACTGAGATCCTGTCTCAAAAACAAAAAATACCACATTTAGAAATTTTTCATTGAAATTCTGGATTATTGCTTAAAAGAATCTGATGTCTCCCATCATTTTTCTTAATCAAAAAATTTTCTTACAGCATCTGCAGAAAAAGAGGCAATCAAAAGTACATACTCCAAAGTATTGGATGCCTATGGACTCTTAGGTGTTTTACGGTTAAATCTTGGTAAGTTTATTACCTAATTGATCCATTTTTTCATTTCTGTTTTTGTGATTCTAAAAATTTGAGAGTACCTGTACATCATTTCAGATTCCATGTTTTATCTGTAAGTGTGACATACCTTTTAAACATTAATTAGGCTAATCTTGCAATGTTTGGTTCCCATAAAGGTGCTACATTTTCAAGCACTTGTGATTTTAAGTTCCAGAGACTGTGCCCTTAATGAACACATTAAGAGAAAATTACAGCATTGCCCTTTTTCTTTGCTTCAGTGCTTTATGGAAAAAGTGTCCTCATGTGAACCACACATCATGGTTTCCCTGATGCACAGTAGAAGAGACATGTTTACAGTCAGGCCTGCTACTTAATGTCACTGTGGGTCTCAGACTGACTTTGATCACCAGTTTGTAAGGGTGTGACTTGAAATGCGCCTCAAAGACTGGTCAGGCCCATGATTTGTTTGGTTTGGTGTTTTTACTAGTCTGTAATGGAAGAAGCAGCTTGTACTATCATGAAAATCTAGCACACGATTTTCTTTACTGAGAAAGTCTAATTATAGGTTTTAAAAAAGGTGGATTTAGTGATGTAGTGACTTCCATTGTGGTACAGGCACCTTTCTCATTGGGTGCTGGTAATAGTTATGGATCATGCTCTGAGAAGCCTTGCTTTATAAAATGGATATTTGTCACTTGTTATTAATCTATCACATGTAAAACACTATGTTTGGGTCTTTTACTAATACTGTCTTAAGTAATCTGAGATACATATTTAAATTCCTTTTTTTATAATATGGAATTATATCACTGGTTGGTGATGCTAACATACTGAAAGTTGTCAAATAATAAGTAAAGGAGTCAAGGTTCAAGACCACTTTTGCCTATGTCAGAGCCCATGCTCAAAGACACCACTGCTGACTTCCAAATTCAGACTAATTCCATAGAATTTTTATTACAATTAGATGAAAAAATGTCTGTGAGCTAGGTGTGATGGTGCATGCACATAATCCCAGCACTCAGGAAGCAGAGGCAAGAGGATCTTGAATTCAGGGCCAGCGTGGGCTACATAGTGAGACCCTATCTCAATCCCCATTTCTCCCAAAAAATATCTAGGAAAGTTTTCATAAGCCAAATTGCTTTATAAATTGTTACCAAGAACTTTTTTGCTCTGTATCATCATCATTAGATCATATTTATGTGCCATTTTTTTCAACTTTGCCATTTGCAAAGAACTTCCACATTCATTATCTTATCTGAACTTACCATCATTAGAGAAGGTAGTAAAGACAAAACACTGTTTTTGGATAAATGTTTATAGTCCTTAATTAAGTCCAGTTTTGTAAATGTGAGATTATCCCGTTAATGTTTAAATGCTTATTATACTAAGTGCATTTAGACAAAGATTTTTCCAATTAAAAGACAGTTGTGAATTTAAACATGTTCATGATAAGTTTAAAATAATCACAATGCCAGTTTAAAAGATAGAAACACAAGAAAAAAGTCAGAAGAAGCTAAATAGCTTGAAAATACTGGGCTATTTCATCTAAAAATATCTTTGGTTTTTGCAGGCGATACCATGTTACATTATTTGGTCCTGGTCACTGGATGTATGTCTGTTGGAAAAATTCAAGAATCTGAAGTTTTCCGAGTTACTTCCACTGAGTTTATTTCACTTCGAGTTGATGCTTCAGATGAGGATCGAATTTCAGAAGTACGAAAAGTGTTGAATTCAGGAAACTTTTATTTTGCATGGTCTGCCTCTGGAGTCAGTTTAGATCTGAGCCTTAATGCACATCGTAGCATGCAAGAACACACAACTGATAATAGGTTTTTCTGGTGAGTCTGTGTTTTATTTTTTTCCTTTTTAATCATGTGCTATGTGGTAGCTTGGTGATAGGTTGGTTCAACAATTGCTGTTTCCAGAGATAGCAAGGTATGGACATTGCTAACAGAGCATATGCCTCTTTCCTGCTTCCAAGTCTGCAGTATAGCATGGCAGGCAGCCAGTGTTGATTTTTTAAAGTTAGCGTTGACATGAAACCATTTGTTCTTTCTGACCAATACTGATCTTTCATTTCAGAAATATATTTAAAATATTAGTTTTAAATTTGAGAATGACTTATTTGTGATGAAATTGTTTTGCTTATGTTTACAATTCTTAGCTTTGAGTGCTTGTCTCTGGCATTATCACCATTCTAAGCCATCATTCCCTTATTGATTTTAAATTTTAAAATTGTAAGTAGATTTTTTTTCTTTTTTGTAGTATTGGACCCCAGGGCCTTGAGCATGGTAGGCAGGTACTCTGTCACTGAGCTACTACCCACCCTGAGTAGATTGATGTAAAAGCAACAGACTGTGAAGAAATAGTATACTGGGACAAAGTCCAGTAGAGTATTAGAAGTATAGTAAAAGTACTTATGTAGGTAACTGTGATATGTTACATGATTGGGGTAACTGTGCTGATTGTAAATAGGCACACATCACTGGGACTATAATTACCATGCCTTTATTTTAGCAGACCAGATTCTTAGTATAATCCTCTATTTTTTACAATGAACATCTATGGTGACTTTCTCTTTAATGCCCATGTGCAAATTACATTTTATTGTATTAACATACATTATAAGGCCAAAGCCCCACAGCCCTCTCCCTTGGACTCCCTCAGTACTTCATATTCAAGGCATTCCCTCCTGTGTATTTTCTGTCCCTTACACTTTCAACATCACTTGTATGGTTCTTGAATAGCACAATTCAGGTTTGACACATTTGCTCTGGCTTTCAGAGGGATCAAAGTCAACAATGACCTTAGGAGAGGAAACTACCTTCTGTTTCAACCTTGTAGTTTATATGGAAGTTCTTCACCCAGAAGAGACGTATAGGGGAGGACAGAGGGCCAATGAGTAAAGGCTTTAGAACACTGTTTGTCAGAGGCAGTGAGACACTGAGAGATAGGAAAGAAGAGGTAGAAGGCAGTGGAGGGTATAACAGAGCAGATGAGTGTCCATAAAGCCCTTCAGTGCAAAGAAAGTAGTGATGATGAGATAACTTTGTCTAGCATTTCAGAAGTAGGTCGCAGCGTTAAGTGTCAACCTGATGCTTTTCTGGTGGAAGGCATGGAAGTCCTTTGCAAAATGTAATTGTATTGCAAATGTGTTTAAGGCATCTGTCCTCACCTTCTTGTTCCCTCCTCATTGTTATCCCTAATTCCTTAAATAGACAAGCTTTCTTGCCATATTAGAAGTCCAAGCAAAGGTGTAGTTGCATTTGCTGAGTTTAACCAGTAGGAGTAATTCGTTTATCTTTTCATACAATTAAGGGTAGAGATGGGGACACATTTAGATCACAAAAATCCAGGCGGGTTATCCAATTGGAGACAGGTTGAACAAACAGCATGGCTAAAATGCCAGCAGTGAATTTTTGCCCACTTTTCAGTCTTGTTTTTATTGTTTGGTAAGAATTGGCAACTTGTTTAATTTGCACAGGAAAATGAAAGTTTTTAGAATTCATACTCTTGTACCTTAGTCTAAATTTTTTGTGGTACTGGAGTTTGAACTCTGGGCCTTTACCTTGAGCCACTCCACCAGCCATTTTTTGTGATGGGTATTTTTGAGATAAGGTCTTGCAAACTATTTGCCTGGGTGCTTCGAACTGTGATCTTCCTGATATCTGCCTCCTGAGTAGTTAGTATTATAGGCATGAGCCACCAGCACCTGGCCTAAATATTTTTTTTTAAATGATATAGTAACTATTGAAGCCAAAGAGTGTCAAATGCCTGTCACAAAAACCAGGCAGTTTTATTCCATTGTGATTTGAAGCTGCTACCAGTAAAGAGTTATATATTCATTTAAGTAGAATTAAAACAGCAGCACATTGATAATAAAGAAAAAGTGGAAACTGGCAGTAAAGAAGGAAGCTCTACCTATACAAAATGCCTAGAATCCAAGGTTTGTTTAATTGAGGACGAGTGCATCCTTTCTCTCTATACCATGTCATGGCTTCCAGCTGTGGTGCCTTAGACAGCCTGGACCACAATCAATTTGAGCTTTGCCTCAGATCAGTATAAGTAATAGTAAAGTATGAAACCTGAAGTCATTGTGCTTGTTAAAAATGTACTGGTCACCCAGATTTAACATTCTCCCGGTGGTGATCTCATTTATACTCCAGTGTGCTTTCTTAGTTTCCTGAATATATTTTATCTCTTTGTATACATTGTTTTGGTGGACTGGGCAGTTTGCTTTCTTAGAAAAGTAGCTGGTCTATCAGAACTGCCCTTGGCCACTACCTGATGGGTATTCACCACAGCCTGTGACCTGAGGAGTGAGAAGTTGAGGACTCCTGCTTTGTTACTGTTATTAATAACCCTGAGTGTTCAGGAGAGTGCTGTTATATTTCTTATACCTTGTTTAAGACACCAAGGTAGCGTAGACACCTGAGAAACATTTCCATTTGAAATAGAAGAGTTTTAAACTCAGAACCTTCAGTGACATAGAAAACTCTGTTTTGCATTGGTGAGGTTTTTTTTGCTCAACAATGTATTTTTCTTAGTGGTAGGTTGGCTAGAAGCTTCCCCAGAATCTTCCATATATGTTATGTGGGAGACTAAGGCTCCAGTAGAGACCCCTGAAGGGTAAGAAGACCAGCCTGGTGGGGCTCAAGTCTCCCATCCCTGCTTTTTTAATAATAATGACTCCACTTTTATCTGCTTATTAGTCATCAGGCTTCTTTGTGATGTTTTTGAATAAAGCTTTTTTCTCTGCAAAAGTTTATAAACCAGGCTCTAGTCTATTACCTACAATACTAAAATAATTGAAGGGCCTGGGGGGTGTAGCTCATTGGTGAAGGACTTGCCTAGTGTGGATGAGGCCCTGGGTTTGACCCCCAGCACTGCAAAACAACAATAACAAAATAAACAAATTTTGTTTTAAATACTATGCCTGTACTGTCTGATACAGTAACTACAAGCCATATATGGCTATTTAAATTAAGCAAAATGGAGTCATGCAAGACTTAGTATTAGAAATAGGGTTTTATAAAGTGGGATATGGTTGTGTATGTGTCATCCTTTTTGGAACAAGTTAGATTATATTCATTATATATAAACATATAACAGAAATGGGGCACAGATACTAAAGCCCCCCGAAAAAAAGGATTCTTTAATATTGAACATAGATCACATGACTAAGAATCTTACATCTTCATTTCTTTTCTTTTTTTTTTTTTTTTGGCAGTACTTGGGTTTGTGTTTGCCAGGCTGGTGCTGTACTTCTTGAGCCAGGCCTTGAGCCCTCCATTTCTTTTTATAGCCTTATTTTCTGATCCTTAGCTTAGTAAATGTAAATGAATTGATTTATTTTTGGTGCCTTTTAATTTAATAACCTTAAATCAGTATTCTGGGAGCACTGTTTTAAAATTTATCCTGTGTTATTTATTTTCTTGCAGGAATCAGTCTTTGCATTTGCATCTCAAGCACTATGGTGTGAATTGTGATGACTGGTTATTACGCCTCATGTGTGGGGGAGTTGAAATCAGAACAATTTATGCTGCTCATAAACAGGCAAAGGCTTGCATCATTTCAAGATTAAGCTGTGAACGAGCTGGAACCAGGTTTAATGTCCGGGGAACAAATGATGATGGTCATGTCGCCAATTTTGTAGAAACAGAACAGGTATGTAGTGTTGTCTATTGCTTGTTTGTGAGTTATAGAAGAGGGACAGAAAATACTAGAATAGCCAATTTTTACTTGATTGAGAACACATTTTGACACCTATATGTTTGCCTCACAATGTTCTTGGTTTTACTTATTGGCTGTAAGAAAGGCATCCCTAAAACAAACTTATTTAGGTATGGCTCTTCAAATAAGTGGCAGGGTATTCACTAATTAGTGTGGAATAGTCAGTGGTGTTGTACCTTTGGTTTTAAATTTCAAAATCCTCAATAATAGAGCCAGACCACTTAAAGTATTTTTTTGTGAAATTAAATCTAATTCATAGTGGTAGATATACATAATATATAAAAGTTAAAAATTACATTTTTTGGTATGAAACTATATAATTGTAAATTCAGGCCATACCCCAACTCAACTCAGATCTTCCAGTTAAGGTTTTGAGAAATATAAAAAGCTAAAGAAAACAAATTAAAGTATAAAAGGTATATGTATAAAATGTTGAGATTTAAAAGGAGTTTCCTTTTTAAAATTGTGATTCTTATGCTTTCATTTTTAAATAATTTTCTTGGTTAACATTATTACTAACTGAAAAGAACAAACTTATTGTTGACCAATTTAGAATACTTTAATTAGGACAATTTGTATGTAAGATATAGGTCACAAAATGTAGCTACTGTACAACAAATTTTAGTAACTTTTTCTAATACAGTTTTTTTTTTTTTTTTGTAGGTTGTGTACTTAGATGACTCTGTTTCTTCTTTCATACAAATTCGGGGCTCTGTTCCATTGTTCTGGGAGCAACCAGGGTTGCAAGTATGTGTTTGACATTTACTTACTATTTTTTTCTCTTGGAAATTTTCCTTATTCTCTAAGTTTTCAATATAGTACTTTAATTTATTGATCATTCTATTATTTCACATAATATAAGCTACATTCACAAATGAGGATCCGAATGAGTCTTATTGTAGATATTTTTTCCTTTAATGCTCTTTCAAGTAGTGTATTGGTTAGTTTTGTGTTACTATAGTGAAAAACCTGAGGCATACCAACTTTGTAAAGGAAAGAGGTTTATTTTGGCTCACAATTCAGAGGTCCGAAAGGCCAAGATTTAGCAACCCTTTGGTTGGCCTCTGGTGAGGGCATAATGCTGGATGGCATTATAATGATGGGAGTGAGTAAGGAAGGAGGAAGAGATCACGTCCCAAAAACAAGAAGCCACAGAAAGATTCATGAGTCAGGCTCAGGCTTTTATAACTACTCACTTTCACAAGAACCTATACCAGGACTGGAGTGTGGCTCAAGTGGTAGAGCGCCTGCTTTACACACGAAGCCCAGGGTTCAGACCCTGTTCGCACCCCCACAAAAAAAGAAAGAACCCATATCAGGAGACTAGCATTCTCTTCTGAAGGCAGCTCTCCCAGTGACTTAAAGACCTCCAGCTAGGCTGTACCTCTTAACAGTTGAGCACCATCTCCCAACCCTGGGGACCACACTTACAACACATGAATGCTTGGGGGCAAACCATACTCAAAATGTAGTACATAGCCACAAAAAATCAGCTGCTGTGTTTAATTTTTAAAAGTGTGAGTTTTATAGCAGGTTAATTTTCCGAGTGTTTCTGTATTACCTCATTATTTTAGTATATAAGGATTTATTCTCTTTCGGCAGAATAATATAGCTTTAAGAAGCTTCTGTTACTTGGGATCCTTACTCCACTAGGTTTGTGATCTTGGACAGTGATTTAATCCCTTTCTTTTCTCAGTTTCTTCATCTGTAAAGTGGGAATGATATTAATAGTTCCTCCTTTTCAGAGCTGTTGTATAGGAGCAGATCAAAAACACTTAGAATAGTGCCTGACAGCAACGTGGTTATCAACAGTATTTCTGCTACTAGAATTTTATCTTATGTGTGATTACTGTCATCTTCATGGTGTTTTATGACTTGTTTCTGGTAATTTTTTCACTTTGTTTGTTGATTAAAAATGTAAGATGTTTTAAAAATACAAGGTTATAATATTAGATTGGGTCCAATAGTATAATCTTGCATTTTATTTTTAATAAAAAAATCCTTATGTCCTAAGTTCATATTCACTGTAGGCTTCTGGGTACGTATAATTTAGTAAGATTTATGCCTCAGTCTGTAGAATTGAGAAAAGGAACAGAAAAAAAGTCTTGCCTCCTTTTTTGTTTACTACTGGATCACTCCTATATTCTAGGTTGGTTACATGGAAGGAAACTGTGGACAACTTGAACTTTTTAGTGATTCAGTTTTTTCAACACAGGTCAAGAATTAATAGGCATTAATACTTGCACTGCTTGCTGAAATTCTTTATTCTTGTCAAATGTTCTTACTGGTGTGGGTTTTTATCTTGGGCATATGGGGTAACTTAAATAGAATATATTTCTTCTTGAACCTCTCTTGCAAAAGCGTCCCAGCCCCATCTTACTTCTCTTAAGCTTTGTGATCCATGATGGATGTTTGGAAATTTTGGCTTTTAGAGTAGTCTAAAGCCTGGTTTTGATGCAAAAAACCACTTTGCTTTGGGAACAGATTGTAAAGAAAAATTCTTCTAGTCCATTTATGGGCTCTCTGTTATGCGCTTCGTATTATTTTTTATGGTGAAGTTCAGTAATTTAGTAAAGTAAGAAAATGTCTTTTTGGTGGAACTTACTTCCTTCTTCCCTCTCCTTTATGCTGTTAGTCTCTCCACACAGAATCTGGTTGGATAGTGTCATATGATTGTGGGGCTGAAAACTAACTGATTTTAAATCATGCATTTGAGGCAGTCTAACAATTCTGCTAATTATACTGATTGGGCCTGTTGATGACTGGAGTTGTGTTAAGGGTTGAGTCAGTGGTTTTCATAGTTATTTAGATGTATAGTTTTTAAAGCCTCCTTTCTTTGAATAAGAATGGATTCTTTTCTCTATACCATTCTAAAGGAGTGGGAATAAGTAATGAAAGTAGAGATTGATTTTAAGACACTGGAAAAATAGATAATTGGTTTTTTATTTATTTTATATTAATTTTTTTAAATTCTGTTTATTTTTGTAAATTTTTAAATTTTATTGTTTATTACTCATATGTGCATACAATGCTTGGGTCATTTCTCCCCCCTGCCCCCATCCCCTCCCTTACCACCCACTCCACCCCCTCCCCGCTTCCGCCCAACCCCTCCAATACCAGCAGAAACTATTTTGCCCTTATCTCTAATTTTGTTGAAGAGAGAGTATAAGCAAAATAGGAAGGAACAAGGGTTTTTGCTAGTGAGATGAGGATAGCTATACAGGGAGTTGACTTGCATTGATTTCCTGTGCGTGTGTGTTACCTTCTAGATTAATTTCTTTTTGATCTCCCTTTTCTCTAGTTCTGGTCCCCTTTTCCTATTGGCCTCAGTTGCATTTAAGGTTCTGCTTTAGTTTTCTCTGTTGAGGGAACAAACTAGCTAATTTTTTAGGTGTCTTACTTACTATCCTCACCCTTCCTTGTGTTGCTCTCGTTTTTATCATTGCTCATAGTCCATACCCTTGTGTTTCCCTTGGATTAATGTCCTCATATGAGGGAGAACATACGATTTTTGGTCTTTTGGGCCAGGCTAACCCACCAGAATAATGTTCTCCAATTCCATCCATTTACCAGCGAATGATAACATTTCGTTCTTCTTCATGGCTGCATAAAATTCCATTGTGTAATAGAACCACATTTTCTTAATCCATTCGTCAGTGATGGGGCATCTTGGCTGTTTCCATAACTTGCTTGGCTATTGTGAATAGTGCCGCAATAAACATGGGTGTGCAGGTGCCTCTGGAGTAACCTGTGCATCACAGTCTTTTGGGTAATATCCCCAAGAGTGGTATTGCTGGATCAAATGGTAGATCAATGTCTAGCTTTTAAGTAGCTCCAAATTTTTTTCCAGAGTGGGTTGTACTAGTTTACATTCCTACCAACAGTGTAAGAGGTTCCTTTTTCCTCCTGCATCCTCGCCAACACCTGTTGTTGGTGGTGTTGCTAATGATGGCTATTCTAACAGGGAGTGAGGTGGAATTCTAGTGGTTTTAATTTGCATTTCCCTTATTGCTAGAGATGATGAGCATTTTTTTCATGTGTTTTTTGGCCATTTGAATTTCTTCTTTTGAGATTCTGTTTACACTGCCCATTTCTTTCTTGGTTCATTAGTTTTGGTAGAATTTAGTTTTTTAAGTTCCCTATATATTCTGGTTATCAGTCCTTTGTGATGTGTAGCTGGCAAATATTTTTCTCCCCACTCTGTGGGTGTTCTCTTCAGTTTAGAGACCATTTCTTTTGATGAACAGAAGCTTTTTTAGTTTTTATGAGGTCCCATTTACTATGCTATCTCTTAGTTGCTGTGCTGCTGGTTCTTGAGAAAGTTCTTACCTATACCTACTAACTCCAGAGTATTTTCCACTCTTTCCTGTTCAACTTTAGAGGGTTTGGGGTCTGATATTAAGATCCTTGATGTTCCATTTTGAGTTAAATCTTGGTAATAGGGTTGATATAACATGGATCTAGTTCAGTTTTTTGCAGTGCTAACCAGTTTTTCCCAGCAGTTTTTGTTGAAGAGGCTGCTATTTCTCCATCATATATTTTTAGCGCCTTTGTCAAAGACAAGTTGGTTATAGGTTGTGTGCTTCATATTGGGTCCCTCTATTCTGTTCCACACTGGTCTTCATGTCTGTTTTTGTGCCAGTACCATGCTGTTTTATTGTTATTGCTTTGTAATATAGTTTGAAGTCAGGTATTGTGATACCTCCAGCATTGTTCTTTTTGACTGAGTATTGCCTTGGCTATCGTGGCCTCTTGTGTTTCCATATAAAAACAGTAGATTTTTCAATCTCTTTAATGAATGTCATTGGAATTTTGATGGGAATTGTATTAAACATGTAGATTACTTTTGGGAGTATAGACATTTTTACTATGTTGATTCTACCAATCCATGAGCATGGGAGATCTCTCCACTTTCTATAGTCTTCCTCAATCTCTTTCTTTCAGAAGTGTATAGTTTTTCTTGTAGAGGTTTTCACATCTTTTGTTAGGTTTACACCTAGGTATTTGATTTTTTTTGAGGCTATTGTAAATGGAATTGTTTTCATACATTCTTTTTCAGTTTATTATTAGTGTATAGAAATGCTAATGATTTTTCTATGTTATTTTATATCCTGCTACCTTGCCTGTAGCTATTGATGATGTCTAGAAAGCTTCTGAGTAGAGTTTTTGGGTCTTTAAGGTATAGGATCATGTCGTCTGCAAATAGGGATATTTTGACAGTTTCTTTACCTATTTGTATTCCTTTTATTCCTTCTTCTTGCCTAATTGCTACTGGCTAGGAATTCCAGTACTATGTTGAATAGGAGTGGAGATAGTGGGCATCCTTGTCTGGTTCCTGATTTTAGAGGGAATGGTTTCAGTTTTCTCCATTAAGTATAATGCTGGCTGTAGGTTTTGTCATATATAGCTTTTATAATGTTAGGAACTTTCCTTCTATTCCTGTTTTCTTAGAGCTTTTATCATGAAATGATGTTGGATCTTATCAAAGGCTTTTTCTGCATCTATTGAGATGATCAAGCGGTTTTTGTCTTTGCTTCTGTTAATGTGGTTTATTACGTTTATTGATTTTCGTATGTTGAACCACCCCTGCATTCCTGGGATGAAGCCTACTTGGTCGTGGTGAATAATCTTTTTGATGTGTTGTTGAATTCGGTTTGCCATTATTTGTTGAGGATTTTTGCATCAATGTTCATTAAGGAGATTGGCCTATAGTTCTCCTTTTGGAGGTGTCTTTGCCTGGTTTTGGGATAAGTGTAATA